GCCCTAGTAGCAATCCTGTTATCTTCTAGCACTTGCAACTAAATTTACAATGAGAGAATTTAAGTTGCTTAGTGACAAAGATGGTCTTATCACCATTATAGGCAACTCACACAGATGAAAGGAAATGAATATAACCAGTTGTTAGGACTATAACCAATGATAGTTTTGGAGGGAAGGGAAGGAGGGATGCCAGAGAGGGGGAAAGAGGGAAAGGAGGAGGGAGAGAGGGAGGAAGAGAGAGAGAAAGAGCCCACTAGCTCTTTTGTTCTATTTCAAAAAGCACCATGCAGCCAGGCATGGTAGCACATGCCTGTAATTCCAGTACTCAAGAGAGTGAGGCAGGAGGATCAGAACTTCAGGCCAACCAGCATTACACAGTGAGATTCTATCTCAAAAAAAAAAAAAAAGGGTAGGGGGAGACACACTACTTTCAGAAACTTGAGAAACAGAAAAACAAAGAAAAATAGTACTTGCCTTAACTCCATTAGTCTAAGATAATCAGTTAAAATTCTAGTCTACATCCTTCCAACCCGGTGAAGCAGGCACGTGAGATGAGGTACCAAGCTGGTTATACAGCCTGACAATGATTAATCATCCCCACTGGACTTACCATAAGTCCATAGCAGTGAGAGGAGTAACAGTAGTGCGCAAGTCAAACAGTATGCCTGCAATCAACCAGCATTCCTCGGGGTTGACTTGCCTGGCACACTTCTAATTATTCTACAAATGAATGAAATGAAAATGAACAGCAATAACCCTCCAAGGCCAGTAGGTCACCTCCAAAAGAGAAGAGGTAGATAAGCTTGTTCCCCTCTAGAACAGGCAACTTGGAGAACCCTGACACTGTCCTAAAGGAAAAAATGAAGAGGAGAACGGATGTGCAGAACACCTGGAGTTGAGGGCCTGGGAATAGCAAATATGGAACAGCTGCCTACCAGCAATGTTCCTACAAACAAGGAAAGCTTTAAAAGTATTATAACATGTCAATTCCATATATCAGCCAGCTTCAAATCCCCAACCTGATTATACCCATCTGAAATTTGCTTCACACAGAAGGCCTAAGAAGCGCTCCACCACTAATGTCCCCTCAATAATGTTGAATGTTGTTCCTTAGGAACCTTTAAAGTACCCAATGTCCTTCCTGTGAATGTTATAACCAAGTACAAGGTTCAGTGTCTATTATTTTATAAACCACATCAAATTTTTAAAGTTCGGTTAAACTTAACATGTTCACCCCCAAGGAAACAGCTCTGAAGTCTTTAAGTTTGACGGAAATATTTTTAATAGCATCTACAAAAACTACCTAATCAATAAAATGTGGTATTAAAACAAAATCAGAACGAACCCACATGAAGAAAAGTCAAAATACACTGAGGTTCTCCCTTCTGGCCTGTCAAGTCTCAAAGTCAAAGCTAGATATTTCTTTGACTTTAAAGGTTAAACTAAGAAAACATGCAGATAACATACCTCTTTATTTACATTCAGGATTGTGTAGATGTGCAAAACTAGCTCATATACTTGCAAGTAAAAGCTTACATTTTCTTATGTACACGTGCATGAGTGTGTGTGTGTGTGTGTGTGTGTGTGTGTGTGTGTGTGTGTGTAAGCTAGAATGCTCAGGCTGCTATTAGCAAATACCATATACCAGGTGGTCTAAATACTATTTCCTCATTGTGTCCTCACAAGGCAGGAAAAGATCAAACTCTCATAAAGACACCAACCCCATAATGGGGAGTACCACTCTCCAAACCTCATTGAAACCCAAAAGCTTCCTTCCATGGGAATCTTGGCTGTGTGTATGTTAAGTATTCCAGTTCAAAATAACAAACAGATCCCATCCAACCTACAGGATAACATCAGTATAAGCCTGGTCACTGAGCTCAAGGTCAGCAGCTTGATTATCCCCACTTGGGCCTGGTGAAAGCAGAAAAAAGTCCAAAAGTTTCTATCACAAACACATAAATAGCTCTCACCTACTGCACTATTCAGTAAACTTCCACAGACCAGGAAGGGAAAAGAGGTCTCACCAGCAACCACTTGGGACTGCTGTGGCAAGAACCCTCCCTTTCATCTGTCCGGAGACCCAACCCCTCTTCCGGTCTCTGTAGCCAACACCAGGTTGGACATCTCTCTGAAGGTTCAAGTTCAGTTTTCATTTCAACTGAACTTATAACTCCTTGCCATCTGTCTCCAAAGGGGGAGTGGGGAGTCTTCACAAGTGTTTCCTTCTGGAAGGTACCTCATCCTCAGGGACTCTGTCTAGGGAAGGCCTATCCCAGGGGATGAACAGGCAGTGGGATCAGCCCCTCCAATGCTCTCTTCACCCCTACCCTTGTCCTGCCAGGATTCCTACACTATTGTACTGGCCTCCTTGTCCCCAAGCCCACCCTGTGGACATGGAGCTCTTGGAAAGCACAACGTAAGCCCAGAGCCTGTCTCATGGGAGAAGCTTCAAGGATATTAGCTGAATGACAGGATGAATGGCAAGATGAATGAATTGGCATACCCCCAAATCAGAAGGAGCAACACATATCATAGTTCCTCTGTTCAAGAAATACTGTTTTGCTAAGAATATCTCTGCATACTTTGCTCTCGGGTATAACACAAAGACAGACTCTCGGGTTGTTTTTTGGAGTAAATTCTAGAGATGAGATATTTACTTACTGCTTGCATTTTCCCAAGACTCTGAGCACTGAGGAGCTGCCATTACAAGGAACACAAGCCTGGAACTGCAAGCACCTCTCCACACCAGCTCTCAGTGACACACAAAGATTGCACTACATACTGCCTAGAAATTAAGGGTGACTGGAAGGGGTCAAAAGGATGCAGCAGCCAAACAGTTCTATAAAGAGCAGATGTTTCTAGGGGTAGACAGTCAGAGGCATGAATACAGACTCAACTCACTCAAAAATTAGGTATCCTTGCATTCTCCTTTACCCTGGGGATTTACAGGACCAATAATCATCATTAACCTTTTCTAAGCACTTACTATGCATGGGAACCATCCTAAATCCTGTGCAAATACAATCAGTTCTCAAGGTGATTCTTTGACTTAAACTTATCATCCCCTTTTTTAAGATTTAGCTCTCTCTCTCTCTCTCTCTCTCTCTCTCTCTCTCTCTCTCTCTCGTTACAGATGATTGTGAGCCACCTGATGTGGGTGCTGGGCTCTGAATCCTGGTCCTCTAAATAGAGCAACAAGCACTCAACAGCTAAGGCATCTCTCCAGCCCCATCATCATTTTATAGACACAGAAACAGGCTGAGAATCCTGCCTGATCATGAAGTACATTATACTCTGGGGAACTCAACAGATTAAATGTGAGTCTCCTAGTTTTTAGTCTCCTACTTCAGCAGTCCTTTACAGTAAAGACATTCAGAAGTTGAACACAACCTTTACTAAAACATATCCATGCGGTTTTCGGTCCATTGCTTTGTAGGCATCCCCCGCTGTAGATTTTCCTCTCTGTCTGGCTCAAACCCCACATGTAGCAAAATTTCTAAGTCAAACCCATGTCTCTGCTGTCAGCAGGTGCCATCACTTCTGAGCCATCCACATGGATAAACTATGCATTCTTTTTTCCAGAAGGCACTGCTTTCCTCTGCTCTACAAAGATCCTTCTTCTTTCCTTCAAATGACTGGTTCATAGATCATGACTCAAATTATATTCACAAATGTTCATATACAGTGTAATTACTCTTCCTAACTGGACTGCTTTGAAGACAAATGAGCCCCTCCCACCCTCCTATCCAGAAACTCATAATACACCACCCCCTCCATAAAATGCAGCCCTGCCACAAACCACAAGCCACACTGTCTGCTCTGTGTGACCACATGGAGAAAAATGGAGTTGCATCTTGCAGGGCTTCAAATATTATTTCATCAGAATCAGATTTTGAATATAGGCTAACAACACTATCAGTGTGTGGAAAGAGAGAGAGAGAGAGAGAGAGAGAGAGAGAGAGAAGAGAGAGAGAAAGAAGAGAAGAGAAGAGAAGAGAAGAGAAGAGAAGAGAAGAGAAGAGAAGAGAAGAGAAGAGAAGAGAAGAGAAGAGAGAGGAGGGAGAGAGAGATGAGAGGAGAGAGGAGAGAGGAGGGAGAGAAAGAGAGAAATTGTTCCCTATTTTTAAAACATTGAAAGATCTCTCTTAAATTTGAAAAGGGGTAGTTTAAAAAAGATGATCAGTAGGGGAGAATCAGAAATCCCAAGATATGTTAAACTTGGTAGGGAGAGCACCCAAGTCAGATAATAAAACGTCCCTTCAAGACTCTGTGGCTTCCCCACACCTTGCTGGCCCCTGGCTCCGGCACACAGTCTGCAGAGGTCCCACTTTTCCATGGGGGTCACCAGCTGTAACCCTACATGCAAACATAATCAAGGCAGAGAAAACGAGAAACACAGGAAAGCGCCCGGGTGGGAGCGAGGTGGAGAGTGGGAATGAGTTTGTCTTTGCGCTCTCAAACAGCTCACGAACTTTCATAGAAACTCCTGACCCTCCTGAAATAACAGAAACGTTGAATCGGATGGGAGAAACTCTTTTCACTTTGCTCAGTTCAGAAAGCAAGAGAATGCTGAATGGAAGAAAAAGAAGGGGGGAAGCTGCATAAACACCCAGTCTCCCCCGGTCCTTCACCCATCCCAGATGTGGTCTTCTCACTCCCCGCCCACCTCCTCTCCAGCCCGCGCCCCCAGTCCCTGCTCTGGCCACAAAAATGCAGCCCAGCTCTGAGGTGCAGCTGACGTCGGTGGCCGGCGTGACCCACCCGGCACAGACCAGGCCGGGCGGGGACCACCGCAAGCGCGCCTAAGCCGGGCGGGCACCCGCGAGTCGGAAGAGCTGAGCTCCCGCGGGTTCGGCGCGAAGACGCGATCCAGGCACAACTTTTTCCTCTACCGCGGCCGGTCCCTTCCCATACCGGCATCCGCCGACCTCGGTGCGGTAGCGCGGACCGGTCCCTTCTGTCCCCCGCGGGCTCCGCGTGCGGCGCTCGGCGCCTACCTGGCCCGGGCTGCCGGGGCTACGGGTCTCCGTTCCCGCCGCAGAGCCAGGCGCGTGTGTCTTCCCGAGCCGGAGCTTTCCGTTACGCCTCCTCGCTGCCAGCTCAGTCTGGCCCCGGCGGGCCGCTCCGGGAAGGAGGAGGGCCGGGAGGGGACGAGGGCGGGAGGCCGCGGAGGGTCTGCGGCGCCGGGGCGGAGGAGGCGCGGCCAGAGCGCCAGGCAGCGCACGGGGAGGAGGCCGAGGGGCGGGCGCAGCGGGAGCGAGCCGCGCAGCCCAGGCCCCCCCGGCCACGGCCAGTCAGCACC